TCCGTAATGTGGATCCGCCGGAAAGACGGTGGCCAAGGGGTTGAACTGCTCGCGGAGGTGAGCGACACTTCCCGGCCATCGTGCTGGCACGAACACGTCGTCAGGCCGAGCGGTCTTCAGCATCGAGTGTAGTCTCTCCGACGCAGTGGTAGCACACAGCTTGGCGCCACTGGACTCCGCACGCCGTTTCGAATGCGCCCTCGAGTAAGGCGCGACAGCTTCTCGACGTATACCCCGTCCACCCCGCTTGGCCTTCAGTGACTTGTTCGCGCTTGAGCGGAGAGGCGACCGTGGTGCCGTCTCCAAGAGCACCGGAGACGATGTTGTCGGGCTACGAGGTGCGAATCGCACCGGAGAAGTCGGTGGCTCCGTCGACGTCTCGCTTGGAGGGCTTTTCCTGGGATTTCTTGGCTCTGGAGGGCTCCTCAATGATGTCACAGTCCCGGTGTAGCTGCATGAGAAGCTTGAGTCCTCATAGGGGATCGACGTAGCGTTGGGCGGCGTGTTCTCATCGCTGGAGACGTCATCAATCCACAGACGTTTTTTGTGGACGGCCGAGTACAGCGGGTTTACCATGCGTCTGAACAAAACAGTTTCAATTAATTACAAACGAGCACTAGAGTTGAAACATACACAACGAACCTCGAAGCTGTCGCTGTCTTCGCCCTTCGGACGAAAAATTTAAAGTGATTGGGGTTTTGGCGCGGCGGAAGATATATGCTTCAAGCTAAGTCCAATGAGTGCATGCGACATATACAGGAGTGATTGTAATCTTAAAATAAAAAAAATTCAAGATTAAAAGTTAAGATGGCTGCACGACATAACTCGCGGGGTAGGGGAATCTATTGACACAATATTTACGCCTCCGGGCCGGGTATGCGCGTATATGCCTCGACTTATCTGCTGCAGATAAGTCGGTCGTTTAAGTGATAATTGGCAGGCGCCCATTGAATAACGGTCCTTTATGTCGGAGCAGCAAAATGCGTTGAATGTACCGGGGTTCGTCGGTAGTTTAGCTATGTTTTACATGTATATTTCTCTGTTTATAGTTTAAAGGCTTAGCAAATTATAAATGCTAAAATAGGTATTATTTTTAAAATCAAAATATTGTATTATGTGAGTTTATGTGCTTCTGTTTTTTCAGAGAAAAATAATCTTTTCAAAAAGATAAGCATGCAGAAACTACTGTTTTCAGCATTTTAAAAATCTGATACTACTTTTAAAGACATTCCTTATTTTAAATTTAAAACTGAAGCAGAACCAAAAAAGCTGATTCCCAGTAAATTTGAGATTAGATCTGTGTCAAGGAATTCTATTTTATGCTTTAAGCTAAATCGTCTTTGCTCACCTTGTTTTGGCTACCGGTTAGAGAAATTACCTGAGAGTTGCCAGCCTGGGTTGGCAAGTCGCCACACAGTTCGTTGGCGCAAGTTGTTGGACTGCCACGTGTCAAGCAGAAGCAGATTGTGGGTGTCGTGCGCTTAATCTAGACCACGCGATCAAAAGAGGACAGGCTGTTCAAAATTAAAACCAGTGATTTGTGCAGCTTATCATCGAAGTGAAGGTGAGCTCGTTGGCCACAGATCTCATTTCTCATTTCTCTCTGCAAAACGCAATCGACGACGAAATCGCAAGCAACAATGGCAACCAAGAACGGAAAAGTGGAGACCGAGAAAGCCAAGATGCTGCGTGGTGAGCTCTACTTCTCCATGGACCCGGATCTTTTCAAGGAGCGACAGGAGACCCGCAAGCTGGTCAAGAAGTACAACGAGTTCGAAGGCGCCGAGACCCCGGAAGCCCAGGAGATCCTCACCAAGATGCTTGGCTCCAAGGGTCAAGAATGCTTTATCGAGATGCCCTTCCGCTGCGACTACGGCTCCAACATCCGATTGGGAGATAACGTGTACATGAACTTCAACTGCGTCCTGCTCGATGTGTGTGAGATCACGATCGGCAACCGAGTCATGTTCGCTCCCAACGTGCAGCTCTACACCGCCACTCACCCGCTGGGACCGAAGGCACGATCTTCAGGGTACGAACTAGGTAAGCCGATCGTTATTGAAGACGACGTTTGGATCGGTGGCAACGTGGTGGTTGTGCCTGGAGTTACGATCGGCCGTGGAGCTGTGATTGGAGCTGGCAGTGTCGTGACCAAGAATGTGCCTCCTATGTGCGTGTATGCTGGCAACCCGGCCAAGTTTATCAAGAAGATTGAGGAGGAGTAGAGGAAGCGTACGAGGAAGAAACTTTGCTACGAGGTAATCTACGTGTACGGGTTGGTGCTCTTCTTTTCAGTTCGCTGAGAGCAACGTAGTGAGGAGCAATTGCAGCTTTTCCGCACCACTCCATTGGATTTTTGCATCAATTATGTGTGTTGCACTGCATCCACAAAATTATTGGCAAATTCCACGGTTTCGTTTCATCATTGTTGCGTGTTGCAGCCACACATACTTGATCATCGTGAGTAATGGATCCCCGGCGAACCTGTGTTGCTGGTTGTTGCCACATCGAGAGACACTAGTACCGGTAGACAATGCTAGAGAACTTGACGGTCTATTGAATGCAGGGCTGCCTCCTAACTACATAAAGCTAGCTTCCTTTTCGGCGGATGCAGCAGACTTGGCGAGCTGGTCCAGCAGGCTCTTTACACTCTTGACTCGCTTATTCAGCAACGATCTTATCTTCGGGTCCGGCTCGCTACGGAAGCTCGTCAAGTGTTGGTGGAAGAAGACCGCAAGGCCGTCAATTGTCAGCTGCGCCTTCTTTGTCTGCAGCAAGCGCTGGAACACCTGCGCCATCTCCAGCTCGCTCTCCACCTTGAGGATTTCCTCCGTCAACACACGCAGGAACAAAATACTCTTCTCCTCCAGCTGCGTAAAGTCAATAACCTTCAGACAGGACAGCGACAAGCTGCTGCTAAGCACAAGCCCGGCCAACATCTGCGCCTGGTTGTACAGTCTTCGAGGCTTGAGCGACTCCATCTGCTTGAAAATATCCCAGAACGCGAGCTGGAACGTGAATTTGTATCGCGGATCCATCTCGCACAGCTTCTCGGCCAGCACCAAGTAGTATTTGTTGAACTTGTTCTCTTGGCCGCAGCAGTGCAGCAACACGCGCACAATCTCACGCTCCTGTTTCTCCTTTAAGTGCAGCTGTAGTAATCGCTCATAGGCGTCAAAGCAGTCGGTGGCTCCCATGAGAGCCACAAAGATTTTCTTGCGGACGTCTGTGTTCATGTGTTGTTTCTCTGCGAGTTTCAAGAGTCTGTCGTTCTCCCGTGCAGATTCAGTTGCGGCCTCGTCGTTTGCTGTGTCAGTACTCGATTTCTGTTGCTGGTAGCCGACCCACGTGCCTCCGACGATCCACCAACGACCGTCTTCGTCGGCGTTGAGCAGCTCATGCAGCGACACACGCAGCGGATTGTTGGCGTTCCCACATCGCGTCTTCACCCGACCCAGCCACTTCTTCAACGACGATACGTCTAAGGCACCTCCACCTGCGCCACTCTTTCCTCCTTTGCCGTGCTTGGACGACTTCTTCAAGTCGTAAATGAGGTCCAGAATGAAGCGAACGCGCTCTTCGGGTTGCTGTCTGCCGTTTGCATGCTGGGCCTCCCCCACTTTCTGTTGTACTGCTGCAACCATCTGACGCAAGGCATCGGCATCATCCGAACGGAGCTGAGCGCCTCCAATCTTTAGGAGCTGGTGGATGAGCTCAATGTCAGTGGACGAGAAACTGTCCACGAACGAGCGGAAGAGATCGTACACGAGCGTACAGTGCACGACGCCGAAGTTGTACAGCATCATCACGAACAGCATCAAGTTCACTGGCACTTTGGACGTTCGGCCAGCGTCGTCGTCGTCATCGTGCGATGTGTCTGTCGACTCGCTGAGCTGCTTCTTCTCCTCCTCCACACTATCCATGAGCTTGCGCACCAACTTCTCGACGAAGAACCCTCCGACTTCGCTGCCAATACTGTGATACAGAGCTGCCACCAGCGCACCGACAACTTTGATAAGCGGAGCCATCACTTGTCGAGGGTGGCAGGTGGTTTGAAGGAGCTTCTCCAACAAGATTTCGTTCACAAGTGCGCGGCCATTTCCTCTGTAGATTTTCTCCATCTCCAGCGCAATGGACCTAATCATAGGACAGCGCTCAGTTAGTAGCCTCTATGACCTACAGCAACGAAGCCAGACAGATAGACGTACTCCATGTTGGACTCGGAGATACGATTAAGTTGGCCGTTAATGCGTCGTGTCAGCTCCCGCATCGCCTGCTCGTCCATCTGCGAAGGCTTGACCTTATCTGTGGCTGCCGCAGCTGCAGCAGCTTCGGCCTCGGCTTGGAGTTTCCGGCGAAGATGAGGAGGGAGGTATGCGGACGGCTTCTTGGTGCCGTCATTCGCCTTGATAACAGGTCGGCCGTAGATGTCTTCCTCTACAACGACGCTCTGCTGCATGTCTTCCTTCTCCTGTTCTTCCTCCTCGTCGCTCTCAGCATCCCTGTCATCGCTCTCTTCCTCCTCCAGCTCATTCGCGTCATCGTTATCTGCCCCGACCTGTTCCCTTTCTTCCTCGCCTGCACTGTCACCGCTGGCCTCCTCTGCATCTGCAGCCAACTGCTGGTTCCGCATAGCGTTTTCTCGCGCTTCGTCGTCTTCACTTTCCTCTTCTTCCGAGTAAAACTGCGCGAGATCCTCCGACTCCGACTCGGACTCATCAGTCGGCAGTTCGTCCATTCCCTTCAAGAACTCGGCGTCTTCCGCCTGTAGTAGCTCCATCTCGCGTCGAGTCTCTTCGTCCATCTCCATGTCGTCTCCAAACTCACTACCCGCCTCACTCTCCTCCCCTTCACTCTCCTCTCCAGCGCTCTCAACGTCCGCATCCTGCGCAGTCGAGCACTTAACCGCCTTCGGCTGGCCCTTCACCACTCTACATAAAAACACACACACAAAAATCAATAAATATATATCTTATTGCACTGACAAGTGCAAGCTCCGTACTGTGAAATGTGATCCAGCCCCGACAAAAAGTCGGCAAAGTCTTCGCCCAGTCCGTCTTTCGAGTACTCCCTACCCCATCCCAACGTTAGCTACCACCTCAATAATTAAAATAGTAATATTTTGCGCTTACTTCTTCAATTTCTTCAGTGCCGACTCAGATTTATTGGACGACGATGATCCGAGTCCCAGTTTGGCCTCCAGCGCCTTGATCTCCTTGTCCTCGGTGCTTGGTTGGTCTGAGTTTAATCGCGTGGTTTACCAGTTAGAAACGTTAAACTATTTAAGTGCAATAGAATAACGAGAAGGCGCACCTGCTTTCGCATTCGCCGCCTCCGCTAGAAACTCGTGGAACTTGTTGGTGATGCCGCTGGGGCGATGCGCTGTGGCGGGTTTCTTGCCACGGGACTTGCCGGCATTTCTATAAGCTGTAGACGGCGCGTCGGCCTCCTTGCGCTGCCGCTTATTTTTCTGCCGTTTCTTGTCTTCGCGCTCTTGCTTGCGCTTAGCCTTGCGCGACACAGGCGCCTTCCCAGCCGCCATTGTAACTTGCTTTTGGCCAGTCAAAAATGTATGGCTTCACGTTTCTAATTGTCTATTGGAAGGGTTAGAAATACGGTCAGGTTAGATATGTGATGTGCCAAACACATTTGAAGACGCGGATACCTTGAGAAAGACATGCCGCGCCGACTTAGTCGCGGTGACGGTGCAGCGCTGTTCGGGCTGTTATGGGCAGCCTCGTGTGTGTTTCTCGTGGCACTGCGCTTCACTCCTCGTGAAATTGCAAATTCTGCTACCCCTGCCTCCAAGTCACGAGTTTTCGATCCGAAATGGACATCTGATTCCGTTTCTAACGAGCTTTTAACTGGCAAAGCGACGCTGTCGCTGGTGGAGTCGCTGCCTGTGGGGGATTTCGACTTGTCGTCGAGTGTTCCGCAGACATTCGAGGCCCTAACACGCCATGTTGTGGCCGCTAAGCGCTCCATTGACCTCAGTGCAATGTACTGGAACCTGCTGGGCGAGGAAGACCGAAAAGTTTATACCGACGCTGAAATGACAAAATTCGGTGCTGATAGAGGCAAAAATCTGCTTTTAGCGCTAAAAGAAGCGGCAATTCGAGGTGTGAAGATTCGAGTTTTAACGGCGAAACAGAATGTTGAAACAGGTGAAATAGATGAAGCAGCTGAAATGTCGTGTGGCTCGCTACCGAGTGAGGTGCAAATGCTGGTGAATGCCGCGAAGAAGAAAGTTGAAGTAAGGTGTTGGAGCGGCCCTGAGTGGTACGGCAGCGGTATTTTACATCAGAAGATATGGATCTTTGACGACAGTCACGTGTATGTGGGGAGTGCCAATATGGACTGGAAGTCGCTGGCTCAAGTGATGGAGGTGGGCGTGGTCATGGAAGATCTGTCTCCCACATCCAACGTGATTCAGGATATGAAGAGGCTCTATGAGACGTGGTGGATGTTTGCCTCTCCGGAATTGCTGCCGGCCAAGACGGATAGATACTTTTCAGAGAGGTTTCAACACGAGTTGCAAGTGCCGAAATGGTCGCTGTATCTGCCGACAGAAAAGAGAAACGTGGATCCATTCGTGAAAGCCGGTTTGTCAGCGCTGGGCAATATTTCTCATCAGTTGCAGACGACGTTTAATACGCCTTTAAGTGGGAATGATACCGAGCGAGGTGCTGAAACTGCAGACATGTTTGTTGCGGCTGCACCTCTGGAGGCGACAGCTGCACACTCGCGAGCTTTTGACGAAGACGCACTGGTCTACACGATCCGATCGGCCAAGTCTTTCATCGGTCTTAGTGTCATGGATTTTGTGCCGTTCTCGATGTATACACCGGGTCCTCTTCACTGGCCAGCTCTTACGGATGCTCTGCTGGCCGGTGTGTACAGCAAACCGGGACTGCAGGTGTGTCTACTGATCAGCCAGTGGCAGCATACCAGCACTCAAATGCTGAAAGCACTCGCCACCTTGAAGAAACAGGCAGATTTGTGTCAGCACACGCACGCTCGTTGTTCCGGACGACTCGAGATCAAGATTTTCCGTGTACCAGGCTGGCAGAATACAACGTCCAGTGCGCGCACGAAAGCTGTCTGGCCGTCCTACACCCGCGTGAATCATGCCAAGTACATTGTCACCGACACTCGCGTGAACGTGGGCACGAGCAACATGGAATGGGGATATTTCTACACCACGGCTGGTGCCAGCGTCAACACAAATCATGAACCTACCCGGAAAGCCCTGGAGAATGTGTTTAAACGAAACTGGAACTCGAGTTATGCTAAAAGCTTGGAGGAAATTGTATCTGCTGAATCGTAAGGGCTTGTGCGTATTCGTACCGACTAACTATGAGCTGAAAAATAAATATTCTCTTGTCGGTGCTCGTTGATCCATCGATTTATCGTTTCTCCACCTTCTGCGCATCCTCCGATTCGCTTTCATCCTCATCTTCAACTTCATCGGAGGCGCTTTCTTCTTCCTCGTCAGCTTCATCGCCGTTTGGACGAGAATCGGAGTCGTACACGTTCACTAACTGCGCCATACCAGCGTCGACATGAGAGGCGATGTGGCAGTGTGCGAAGATGTTTCCGACCATATATTCGCGTGGCGTGAAGCGGATCTGTACTCCTCCACGGAAGATCGGCAACGTATCACGCCATTCCCCCACGGCAAACATAACGCCGTCAGGGTCAGTAATGTCGTCCATATCCGAGACTTGGAAATGCGTCGCGTGCATGTGGAATGGATGACTCATCGTACGGCAATTGCTTGACTTTCTTGCCAGACGCCGCTGTACACTGGTGCTATCGTCCTCCAGATCGCAGTCCCATATTGCGGCCTTCCTGTAGTCTTTGACCGAGATTTCCCATTGCTGCATCTCATTCACAGGCATCGAGTAATTGACGTTGGATAATTCGAGCTTCTCGTGGTTGACGCCGTATGTGATCCCCTTATCCATCCACACTGAGAACTCGAAGTCGTATTTGTTGCTCTCCTCGATCACGGGACGAGATTCGGGTGTTCCAAGTGTATCTTCCATATACGCTGGACGCTTCGGCAGAGTTGAAGGGAGGCGCATGAATTCGCTGGAGATCTCGCTATCGTCATTATCGTCTGGATCGTCGACTTTCGACACCTTGAGCTTCGCAATGCGCTGAGACGGAACGCGGTGCTGGTTTTCAAGTCCTAGCAATTTGTTGCGCGACGTTGCACAGTCCGTTTCGAGGTAGAATTCTCCGATCTCAGCACACATAATGGCTACATCAGCTCGTCCACCGGGTGGGATCACAACCACTTCCCTCGCCTTGGGTTTCGTAAGGTAGATCCCGTCCATGGCAAGTACTTTCAGCATGCAACCGCTTCCTCGGCTCGTCACGAGCTCAGCCACATTGTTCGCAATGGCGTTAATAAACCGCAGTCGCTTGTACTCACCTACTGCGAGGTCCAACGTGGGGAGGTATTGTCCATTTACGAACACCGTGGGCAGTGAGGTGTCGTTCAGCGGCACGTCCGCATCGTCCTCGACAATTTCTAGATCTGTAGGCCAAATACGTTCCTCATCTGGAGTGTCCATTTGTTGTGAAAGTCTTCTGGAGTGACTGTACCTATTCTCAAGCGCTTCTTCGAGAGCGTCGTACATATTGAAGCAGTTCTCGACACAGACCGCTTGTAGGAGCATAATGAGATCATCCATCGCTGCCAATTCTGCTGGAAAATCTGCCGGTCGGTCCACCACAATGAGCGCACCTGCCATCAACCCGTTGAGCTGCGAGTTCACATTGCCGTGCGTATGCGGATGGTACCAGAATGTTCCTGCCGGGTGGTCGGGTCGAATCTCATACGTATATCTGCGTTGTCCTCCCGGTTCCACGTTGGGCATCACATTATCGGCATCCCCCACTGGAGGAACATGCACCCCGTGCAAGTGAAGGTTGGTGTTGTTACTCTTACCAGCTTCCAGTGAGTTGGTGAGGGTTATAACTAGGCGGTCTCCTGGGCAAACCTTGATGGTGGGGGCAGGCACGTGTCCGTTGTACGACCTCGTGTTGAAATCCACGTACTCGCTTGTGAAACGCGCAAGTTTCACGGCCAAATTGATGCGCAGTTCGCCGGTTCTGCTCTTCACTGTCGAGCGATCGCCCAGGCTCGAAGACGAGCTGTCGGTAGCTGCAGTCCATTGCTTGGCACAGTCGGACTGGTACACTGTCGGCTGACGCAGCGGCTGGAAGTCGTACACCGCAGTGGTCACCGCAGCGACGACGGCGACAAAAACGCCCTGAAGACAGACCGAGACACGCATGTGACCTCAATCCAGCGACTCGAGCAATGCGACGCGCAAAGGCGAGGAGAGGGACACGTACGCGTCGGTGTCGCCATCACGCGATTGGTGAACAGCTGGAAATTGGTGAGGTTCAGTTTACTGCTGCTGCGGATTAATCCGGTGCAAGTTGACCACCGGGAACCGGTTATTGCGGTATCAAAGGACGAAACATGTCGTGCAATACTGTAACGCTGTACATGAGCGCAAAGACTGAAGTCACCGAGTAGTACTGGTTTGAGGGTATTTTTAATACTTCACATTACATTTATGACAAGCTCGCTTATGCGTGGAAGGTGTCGCCAGCGGCGCGGTTCTCCACGAGCGGAGCGGCAAGACAGGCCTTGATATATCCTGCACGGGTGACATAATCGCCGAACTTCTCGCCCTGGTCTCGGTTCTCTGCGTAGTCCTTAATGATAGGCTCAAGCTCCTCGAGAATCTGCGCTTCATCCACAGCCTCCTTGTAGAGCTTGTTGAGGCGGTCGCCGGAGAAACCTGCACCGAGGTACATGTTGTAGATCCCCGGGGAGCGACCCACGAAGCCGATCTCACCAAGATACGGACGCCCACAGCCGTTGGGGCAGCCAGTCATACGGATAACAATCGCGTCGTCGCGCAGCCCGTTCGCTTCCAGCATATCCTCGATCTTGGTGACCAGCGACGGTAGATAGCGTTCAGCCTCAGCAAAGGCGAGGCCACACATCGGCAGAGCAGCACAGGCAATGGAGTTCAGACGCAGGCCTGAGTAGTTGTCGTTGCCAAACTTGTAGTGCTCCATGAGCGCCTTGATCTGCGGGATCTCGGCCTCCGAAATGTTGCCGAGGCTCAGATTCTGGTTACCCGTGAGGTGAAACTCAACGTGCGGGAACGTCTTCGCCAGCTCACGCAGACCTGAACGGATGCCAGTCTCCTTGGTGTCCTTAATACGACCACCCTCGATAAACATACCGTAGTGATATTTGCCGCGCGAGTTCTTAATCCAGCCGAAGCGATCACCATTGGAGAGCAGTTTGTACTTACGTGGCTCCTGCAGCTTGTAGCCCAAACGCTTCTCAGTCTCGGCACGAATCCACTTCAGACCGTGGTCTTCCACGGTGTATTTGAAGCGAGCGTGCTTGCGGTTCACACGGTCACCGAAGTCGCGCTGTAGTATCATGATCTTTTCCGCCACATCCTTGGCCTGGTCGAGCGTACAGAACGCCATGACATCGGCTAGACGCGGGTACGTCTTGTTGTTGTTGTGAGTCATGCCCATGCCACCGCCCACGGCGACATTAAAACCGACAAGCTTGTCCTTCTCGAGGATGGCGATGAAACCCAGACAGTTAGCGAACACGTCCACGTCGTTGGCCGGAGGAATCGTGATGGCAATCTTGAACTTACGCGGCAGATACGCCTCGCCGTAGAATGGCTCAAAGTCCTTCACCTCTCCACCAGCAACCATCTCCTTGTCAAGCCAGATCTCGTGGTAAGCGCTTGTCTTCGGGGTCAGGTGGGCAGAGATGTCACGCGCAATGTCAAGGATCTCCTCGTGGGTCTCCACAGAGCACGACGGGTTCACCGTTGCCATCACGTTACGGTTCACGTCACCGCAAGCTGCTAGCGAGTCCATCAGCACACGGTTGATACCCTGCACGATTGGCTTCAGGTTCCACTTGAGAATACCCTGGAGCTGATACGCCTGGCGAGTAGTCAGCTTGATGTTGCCGTTAGCATGTGAGTCGGCAAGCTCGTCAATCATCAGATACTGCTCGGCAGTCGACACACCACCGGGGACACGCACACGGATCATAAAGCCGAACGCCTTCTCCTTCTTCTCCATACGCATCTGTTCACGTAAATCGCGGTCGTCCTGCTGATAAATACCGTGGAACTTTGTCAGCTGTGTGTCGTCAGCAGCAAGGGCCTTAGTCGTGCGATTCTCCAGACCTTCAGCCACCGTCCCGCGCAAATAGTTACTCTGCTGCTTGATCTCTTCATTCGTGCGCTGTTTCTTCTTCGTGCCCTGATGGAGGTTAACGACGTCTGTGGGGATGCCGATCTGCTCCCACAGCTGCGGCTTCCACGTCTCGAACTGCGTCATCGGACCATCTTCGTCCTGATCATCACCCTTGGCGAGATCAATGATACGCTTCGCTCCAAGTTCGCTCAGCTTGGCGTCGAGATCTACGGGGGCCTTGCAGAAGTAGTGCTTCTCGTCCTCACGAGGCCAGTACAAGCTGTCACCCATGCCGAAAACCGCGTACTGCAGTGGAAGTGTCGAGCTGAAGCCCGAAAGCTCGCCCCAGAACTCCTTGCTGTTGTTCGGGAACTCTCCCTGACCAGCAGTCGAGCATACAAACACGACGTAGGCGTTCTCATCGTTAGCTTCGTCCAGGAGCTGGTCCAAAGTCATGTCGTTCATGTCCATCTTCTCCACGTTCTTCAGACCAAAGTTCAAAGCGTCTTCCTCCAGTTTAGAGGCAAATTCGTCAGCGTGACCGTTGTCCGAGCCAACAAGAAGCCACAGCTTCGTGTCGACCTGCCACGGCTCCTGCTGTTGACCCCCAAAGCCGTTCAGAAGAGCTTCGAAGCTGGTCTTCAGTGCATGCTGGCCGATCTGCTCGTACTTCTCCGTAACGGAGGCAGCAGTAGGGCCAGTCAGAGCCTGCTTGGCAAACAGACTCAGCTGGTTGTTGCGCTGTAGGAACGTCGACAACTCTTTCTTAATGCTCGGGGACTCCAGCGAGAAGGCCTTCTCACCCTCCACGTCTTCCAAGAAAGGGTTGTAGCGGTAGAGTGGCCAGTATCCACTGGTTACAGCCTCCTTGGTCTCCTGCTCCATGTTGCTGGCACTCGGAGCATACGCAAGCACGATTGAAGGACCGTCAAAGGCATCGGCCTCGTTCAACGCGCGCAACACCTGCGAGTACGAGTCGTACAGCGCAACCGATGCGACGTACGCGTTGCCATACTGCATCGCATACAGACCCAAGTCACGCTTGCGGTTGCTTCTGGACACGACGTTCATCGGCTCTGTATCGAGGATCAGAAGGTTGACATTTTCACCACTGGCAAGCACCTGGTGCACACCCGAAGCGCCGACGTCACGCGAAAATTCTTCGCTGCCCAGAATCCACTGACTCAGCGGCGCAAAGTACTGCTTCAAGGCGTAGATCTCAGCCAGTAGCCCACACTGGTGCTGCTCGTTTTCAAGCAGAATTGCGATCTCGTTCGCGAGCTCCTCGTGCTTCGGCTGCTTCTCACACCAATGCACAAGGCACTCGAGCAGACGCTGCGACACGATATCCTTGGTATGCTCGCTGGAAACAAGCGTCTTCACCTTGTCCTGGAGCTCCTGACGCTTTGCCAGGATACCGAGATGCACACCGAACCCGAACTCGCCGTTCTCAAGAGCAACATCGTCGCTCGCGGTCTTGTCCTGTGCCTTCCACACAGTCTCGGAGCGCACGAGATTGGCAATAACAGCACGCTTCTCGAACAGCTGCAGTAACATCTTGACGTACGGAGCTTCAAAGCCGTCCTTAGACGACACGTACGAGTCCACTAGCTGTGCCGTGGCTGCTTTCTTGACGTTGAACTCCTCAGTGGCAATCGGAGATGCAACGATAAAACCATTCTGCAATTTGTCCGCAGCCAGCTCCTCCACCAAAGTGCGTGCAGTCACGACGTCGAAGACGGACTCACAGACGTTGAAAGCGTACTTGCCGCCAATAATCGAGGGTACGGGCTTGTTCTGCCAGTCTTCAGACTGGAAAGAGCCCAGTACGTCCATGAACAAAGGCTCACCCACGTTGGTAGCGTCGTCCATGCGGTCCAGGACGGCGAACTTAGTGGCCGTAGCAGGAACGACGCTTAGGAACGTCTTGGTCGACCACGGACGGAAGAGACGCACGGAGATGACGCCAACCTTCGCTTTCCAGTTGGTGTAAAGGGATTCGACAGCGTCCTTGACGACAGTTGAAGCTGTGCCCATAACCACGAGTACCTGTTCGGCCTCAGGGTGACCAAAGTACTCGAAGAGCTGGTAGCCCTTCTTGGCGAAAACCTGCTTGATAACGTCCTCTACGACTTCGGGGACGGCGTTGTACTTAGCGATGCATTCGGGCGAGACCTGGAAGTAGAGCTCAGCGTCATCAGTGTTGTCGGCTACGCCGGACTTGCTAAGCACGAGCTGGCGGAACTCAGGGGTATCCGAAGCGTTCTTGAGGCCGATAAGGTTAGCCAGATACTGGTAGTCCACAAGCGCGTTGTTAAACTTGCTGGAGGAAGCGACACGCTGTTCCAGGTCATTGTGAGCCATCTCACCATCGTAAACGTGCATGAAAGGCACGTTGGCACGCAGCGAAGCCACGTGAGCTAGCAGCGCCATGTCTTCTGTCTCGGTGGCATTAAGCGAATTAAGGATGACGAAACCAGTCTGGCGCACAGCCATGAGGTCCGAGTGTTCGCGTGCAACAACGTGGATGACGGCGGGCAGCTGTGCACTGCTGAGTTTGTACATGGAGGGCACCATTTGTAGCAGCGCAGAAGGAGAAGACGCGAACAGCGTCACGAACTGGCCACGTGCGGCGGCAGCATAGGCACGCTCAATGAGCTCCTGGCCAACAGAGCTCTCCTCCACTTTGCCCACCTGATCGAAGACATTGCGTCGCGCACCGACGATGTACTTCTCTAGTGCCGAGCCAAAAGGCACAGGTTGTACCAGGTACGAAAAGTCGCTGAGCGCGTAGGCCACGTGGCTCACGGCCTCTTCCACGGCCGCGGTGTGCTGCTGCTGTGGCGGCGACATGATCTGTTTGTAAATCCAGGCGAGCGGCGACTTGCGCTGGGGCGTGCGGAATGGCGAGTGGGAGGCTCACCACCCGAACCGCTCAAGATCATGCACTCAAAGTGCAGCGTCGTTGCACCCCCGTGCGAGTGATCGCGACATTGTCAATCTAGCCAATCACAGAGTATTATTATATCGCGTCGTTTCAAAGATTGGAATATGGACCAATCCACGGGCGCAATTGAATCGACGTCTCTAAAACCTGCTATACACAATAGTTTCATCATTAATTTCTGCAGTAACTGCAAGATGCGTCAGTCGACGCGCTTTTGAATCCACAGCGCCCGCCTTTTGGCTGGCCGTGCTGCGCCTGAGTATGCATGCGTGATCAGCCGGATTGGACGGAATTCGTCTACGGGTGATTTAATAGGTAATCGCCGCGTTTGCGCCGGGGAAAATGGCACTCTCCAAGAGCTTTGCTTGATGTTTTTGCGCGTCTGATAACAAGTACAGCGGGAGTGCAGTTTAGCGTTCATTTTCGTAGTCGCACACTTCACTTGATTTCAGTAAGAAACACGAAATGTGCACCACCGCAACTCACCTGTTAAGACAGTGGTGTAGTCCACACATGCCTTTCAACGTCACTCGTTTACGTTTTAGCGCCCGTCTCTCGACCACGGCTGCTGCGCATTCTCCATTGCGACCCAAGATGCTCAAGAAGCCCAAGCAGCTCAAAAGGATCATCTTCTCCGCAATGACAACAACCAAGGGAAAAATGCTACTGGTAGGTGCGGGCCCCGGCGATCCAGAGCTGCTGACGCTAAAGGCCTACCGCGCGCTGCAGCAAGCGGATCTGGTGCTTGCCGACCGGCTCGTGCCCACTGAGGTGCTCAAGATCGCCACGTGCGAGGTGCGCGTGGCTCGCAAACGCTGCGGCAAGGCCGACCTCGCGCAAGCAGAGTTGGACGCCTGGGGCCTTGAGGCGTTGGCGCAGTGCAAACGCGTGGTGCGCCTTAAAAACGGAGATCCCTTCATGTACGGTCGCGGCGGCGAGGAGGCTGTCATCTACTCGGAGGCTGGCTTCGACGTGGAGGTAATCCCAGGTATTTCCAGCTCGCTATCGGCGCCTGGGAGTGCAGGAATCCCAGCCACTATGCGCGACGTCGCCGACCAGGTGCTTGTCTGCACGGGTCATGGAAAGAAGGACCGCTTCCCGGACCTACCCGAGTACTGCGACCACCGCACCACGATCTTCCTCATGGCTATTGGCCGCATTGAAGGACTCACCAAGGCGCTTCAGACCGAACGCGGATACCCGAGCGACATGCCCGCGGCGGTCATTCACGCGGCCACCACGAGCGATGCATGCACAGTCCGCAGTACGCTGAGCGAGATCGCTGACGAGGTCCGTCGTAGAGGCATTGACCCGCCTGGTACTCTGGTACTTGGCAACGTGGTCAACGCTCTGACATACCTCGAGAAGTACGACGCCGTGAAGGACGTCGATATTGAGCCTGAAAGCGCACCCAGGTACACTATCTCATATGCGCCGCTGTCGAGCCTTCCGGAAATCGACCTGGGCGAGCACATTGTGCTGAACGTAAAGACCAAGCGCCCGGAGATTTTCGGCTTCGAACTGTCGATTGCGAATGTCCTCTTCATACTGCTCGCTTTGGCTTCCGTTGTGTACTCAGTCGCGTCGGGTGTGACCATCACCCAGGCGTAGGATTATATTTAAAACTTCTTTAATGTAACGTACTACAGTACTTGTCTCCTGATATCGCGAAGTCTTGTTTCGTTTTGCCTTATCCAATCCATGGAACGACAAAGCTGAAAAGGATTCTGGAAGCCGTAACTCACATAGGGGTCGCTGAAACAGTATTTCAAGATATCCTCAAAGCATTGGGGGGTCATTGGCATGATCTCAAGGACGCGCAATGTTGTTGAAGTGAATTTGTAGGATGGCTACAAAAGGTATTACCAAAATATTTTGTGACTCCTTTTAGTCTGGATTGGGCAACTTATTTTCGCCGGCATGGACTATTCAACTGAGAAAGAGGGAACGAAGCGCAGGAAGGTCATGAGCACCGAGGTTTTCGAGACCCCCGAGCCGGAGGAGGCCTTCCAGCCCTACGCCCCAGCAAACGCGTCCGCCCGACAGGCTCGCGCTGGCGTCGGGGTCGGTCCCGAAATCGAGGGACATTTCCATGACAAGGTACGGGTGGATTTAAGCAATTTACTATCTGGATAATCTCCGAAGATGCTTTCTTATTTCGAGCAATAATTCTGTACTAAATCGACCAGAGCTCCATGGAACTAGACGAACACGAGCTGCCGGCCACACAGGCCTTCGAAGTGTTCATGGGCAAAGTTTACAGTACGTGGCAGTGCTCGAAGATCTCAATTGAGGACATTTCAAAAACATTTTTGATCATATTTGATATTTACATGTATTCCATAGAGCCCACTCTGCCCAAGCAAACGGAGTATGAGTCTTCAGCCCACACAGGCAGCAACAAAGTGACGCTAGAGTCTCCACTAGCTCGTTTCACGCGGCTGTCACTGGAATTAAAGGAGCTGGAGTCTGACCTGACGCTGTTGGCAGCTGACGCCGAGCACAAGAAGCACAAAGTGATGGTGGACGCTGGTCAGGAGGCCGAATTCAACGAAGTCATGCAGGGTCTCACCACTCTGCAGCTCAACTTGTCGGCTCTAGAGAAGAACGCGGCCTTCCAACCGTTTCTGCACCCTGGCAGCAACGCTGTGGCGACATCTAGTGCTGATGCAGCGCTGAGTCTGCAGAAGGATCTGACGGCCAAGTTCTTCCAGCAGATCGACGCACTTAAGCGGCAGCAACAGGGTCAAACAGCGGCACCTTCGTCTTCGGACGGTGCACCGATAGTGTACGAGATTTACAGCAATGGCGAGCTGAATGCCGTCGACCGAGACGCTAAGACGCGTGTGGCGACACTTGAAGCGCGGATTTCGACGCTGGAAAGAGCAATTGGAAGCTTCCAGGGCCAGGAGCTGCGTCTGGACGGCTTGAGCTCGCTCAGTGGTGCGTCCAGCGCCGATCTGACGTCGGCAGTGGCGCAATTGGAGCAGCGTGTGGCGCTGATGAGCGAGAAGAACCTGGATGCCGTTAAGACGCGCACAACGGCCCTCGTTCACGAGTTTACGCTGCTGAGCAAGCTCAAGCAGTCGCCAGGTGTGCAGGGCGCGTTGAACTCCCAGGCTGACCGAGAACAGATCCAGAAGATTTACGACCAGCTCGGCAGTCTCGACGCTGTAGCAGCCTCGGTGCCAACAGTTGTGGACCGCCTCGTCACGCTGAAGTCGGTGCACGACGAGGCACAGAACGTGACAACTCGGGTGGATAAAATGGAGCAAACGCAGGCCTCGTTGGGCGAGCTTCTCGACTCCGATGCTGCGCTACTTGCCAGTGTAAGCAACATACTAAAACCGACAATACTGGGGATGTTGTTTGACATTTACTGATACTGACATTTGTTTTCTTGTCTTTGTCAGATGGAGGCTAGCTTGGCTGAAAATGCGCAGATATTCCAGTCCAACATCGTGCAGCTCGATGACCGCATGGCTAAGCTGCTCGCCTCGTCTGGGGGCCGCTAGATAATTGTCCCTTGTTTTGTATTGGTTTCTTGGAGAGAGTCGCTGGATCAGCATGCGGCCACGGGGTACGAAGTCGATGCGACGACTATCGAGTTGCGCTTGTCTTCTGGCGCCTCTGTGGCTTGGGTGGCAGGTGCAGGTATGAGCGCGAGAATGGAGATTCTAATGACCATTGCATCGTGTTTTTCGTCCTCCATGTCCTTGTTTCGCTAGGCGGTCTTGTCGTAGTACCCAGAGGTATCTCATCTGTTTGTAAAAATATAATCTTCCGTAGGATTATCAATTGAAGCGCTGACGAAGGATTTGTTGACGATGGAGGGTCCGCGAGAATCGATATGTCGGAGAACGTTCCAGTGGTCGATGGCGTTGGTGGTGTTGGAGTCGATCCTGTTGGTACCGATTGCGTTGATGGTGCTGTCGTAGGAGTTCCCGTCATTGGACAGGAGGGCGGTGGTGCAGTATCCGTCGGGGTAGTCCTCGGTGTATCTGCAAGAATAGGCACGTCATCAGGAAATCCTTCGCTAGTAGGTGGAGCAATAGTCGCAGGATTCGCGGAAGTGGTTGCCGAAGGCGTCGCTGTATCTGACAGGGCTGTCGTTGTCGTCGGAGTCGAAGTTACAGGGGTCGTCGGGGTAGTTCGTGTGGTCGCTGGAGGATTTGCCGCTGACTGCGTGGTCACTGACGGGCTGGTCGAAGGCGGATCTGCGGTCGATGGTTGAGTCGTTCCTGGAGAACTTGTTGATGTCGGTGGTGCTGTTGTATCGGCAAGAATGGGAATGTCAGGGGCGGTCGTGGCAGGAGCTGCTGTCACCGGTGCGCCGGCTACCGGTGTATTGGAGATAGGCGCAGAGACTGTAGGAGCTTCAGTTGCTTTTCCGGACGTGGCTGGTGCCGTTGTATCCGCTATAATCGGTACCTCGCCAAAATGGCTCTCCTGTCTCTGGTGCTGAAGATACTGGCAGGTGGTGTACCTGTTACCGGTATCGTAGTGGCAGCCGCTGGCACTGAAAATGGAGGCGTACTTGTGGCCGGTACATACATCCGTCGGTGGTATGCTCGTTGCCGGTGAAGTTGTTATCGGCGCCGCTGTTGCAGTCGCAGAGGTTGGAGGAGCCGGAGTGTCGGCAAGGATCGGGATGTTACTGAAAGGATCTTCTGTCGTTGGCACAATACTTGGTTGTTGGTGAACTTATCTCCGGTGCAATTGTCGCTGGTGAAATCGTGACTGAAGTTTCTGGCGAATCCGTTACTGATGGCCTCGTTATTGTCGCACTCGTTATTGGCTCGATTATCACTGGCAGAATTTCTACGGGTGAACTCGTTACCGCGCTACTGTTGCCGTCGCGGAGGTTGGAGGAGGGAGATGTGACTGGAGATGCGGTGACGTGCGCGGATGTCATCGGTGCCGCAAAAGTAGAAGGGGGTGTTGTACTCACAAGAATCGGAATGTTACCAAAAGTCTTCGGTAGCTGGTGGTGACGCGGTAGAAGTTGCTGTCGTCATTGTTGGCGCTGGTGTGGCTGTTGGCATTGGTCGGTTATGCGTGAGCTCGCAATCCCCCGCACTTTCTGTACAGCATATGATATTTTGCTGGTTGCTCGACCATTTCTCCGTGCACGTCGACGTACTCCAGCAATATGGCCCTTCCGATCCTTGGTTTGATTGTGCGCAACGCCAGCTGCTCCCACCGTTGAGATAGCCGCTATGATAATACGCTCGCTGGCTGTCGAAACTCGGCGGATCTACAGCCCCAGGATCTTCGAATTGGAGACGACGGTCTTCATCAGCCCAAAGATCGCCTCGACAGCATTTTGTATTAGTACCGCCGTCGCTGCTATCTGCGTCTATCGCATACTAGCCGGATGCCTTCAGCGATGTCACTGTTCGGTGAATGAAATTGAGACCTGAAGGCAGTCAGAATAGGACCCCAAGTTGGGCTTTACTTCTAATAGCCTAAGGCATTTTCGATTGCTCCGCCGCCGCCATTTGGGAGAACACATGTTCAAAAGGGGAACACAGTGAAAGGAGGTCGGAGCAACCCCCAGTCTTTAAAGGCCAAGGTGGTGTAGAAATTACAAAGTGGGCGCGTTTTTTACAAGGGGTTTAAACGGCGCCGGCCACAGCCTTTAGAGGGCCTCCCCTCTTTCGGGGAGGGTTTGAAAGTGCGCAAAAGGGGGGGGGAGAAAAAAACGCGCCTAGCGGTGCAGTATAACATCTTGGTGTCTTGGTGATCTGAGGCAAGAGAGCTCTTGCCAGAGAGCTCTTGCCTCAGACCACCAAGACACCAAGATGTTACACTGCACCGCTAGGCGCATCGTTTCTTTCGTACGTTTCGATTCTCGGAGATACCGCAAAGTGGGGGTATCAGAATGTTGGGATCCTCTGGCGAAGTTGGACGCCTTTTGCGATTAGCGTCCAGAAGAGCTGTAGCCCCTTTCGTTCTTTTATACGTCGTAAGCTCTAGCGGAAAGAGTGCTTTGTCACAAAGCTTTCCTGGGGTGAAGAACTTGTTCAAGTGATCTGCTCGAATAACGTACAGTTCGTTTTCATCAATCACCACATCCAAAATGGACATATCCTCCGACCATGCGCCACAGTTCCGTGTTGACGTCCTTGCTCGAGTACTTTGCTGAAGTTTCACACGACACAGGCCTTGGAACAGCCTCAACTCCATGTAGTTACCAACTTCATCATGGTACTTGGGTGGACTATCCATGGTGCCTTGCCAGCGCAATGTCAAGTGAGCACATTCATGAAAAATCGTTGCCGCCACCACGAATACGATACACTGGTATTCGTGCGAATCATTTGCTTGATCAATCCTGTTCACGCGAAGCTGTAGAATTTCATTCACAAAGATGGTTTTCGCTCTCTCGCTTCGTTCTGTCCAGCCATAGATAGATCCTTTATCGAATTTCTTAAATCGCACTTGAACATCACGAAGATTAGCTCTTGTCGTTCGATCTGCGCCCAACTCCGCTTCTAAAGACCCACAATGCTTCAACATCAAGTTGGCGATCTCAATCGCTTTCTTCAGAAAGGCTGGGTAGCGGGCTCGCGTTGTCAGCGCGAAGTCTGTGCGCTGAGGGGCTTGCACGATGAGCGCGACCTTCTTTGAACCACCAAACGATCCAATAGGCGAATCACTTTCCAACGCCTGCTTCTCGTTATACTCCGTCTGGCTCGCAAAGACTGTGAGGTTCGCCGCAGCAACCCCCGCAAGGTGGCTGTCGTTCAATGTTTGTTTTACCGCATGGCATAACGCAGCAACATCTTCAATGTCCATGGCAACAGTATCAGGCAAGATCAGCGCTTTGCCGTCATTGCCGACGAGCTTGAACCATTTCCGCGCCATCACAGGAAAAACGAGAGTGACTGCCAAACGGTTTTGACTAACCTCAGCTGAGGTGCAAATGAAAATGCCTTCTGAACTACAATCAGAATCGAGCAACTCACCCAATGAAGCTTGGGTTTGCTCCATTTTGTCCAACTGCTGCGTGACGGGGCAGTTGGACCAACTGCCAACTGACTTGGCAAAATCAACCCTCAGGGTCAGCATTATGATCCACCCTGAAACTGACATTTACTAACTTTACTTTAGAAAATGTGCAGATATTTCAGTGTCCCCCCTGTTTCGGCAATACGAATTTTTCTTATAGGTCTCTTTAAAAGGAAACTGCTGGGTCAACATGCAGCCACAGGAATCTGAGTCGAGCTTACAATCATCGAGTTTCGCTTGTCTTCTGGCGCCATGGAGTCTTGAGCGGCAGGCGCAGCTATGAGCGCGAGAACGGAGTTCCTAATGACCATTGCATCGTGTTTTTCGTCCTCCATCTCCTTGTTACGTTGGAGGCGATCTTGTCGTAGTTCCCAGAGGTATAGCATCTGTTTGTAGAGGATATAGAGCTGTCGAGAGTTGAAGAGCACCAAAAGGGTCACTTGGAGCACGATCACTAGAGTACCGACGAAGTCCTGCAGACCAATCTCCGTTGAAGGCGTGAGAAACGAGCTGATCAGCGCGTATGTGACCATCTTCATGATGAAAGCAATTGACGAGCACACAGTTTGAAATTCCATCGAGTACGGCGCAGTCTCGACGGTGTAAAGGAACATGGCGAGCTGTAGAGACATCAGCAGCGTCAACTGGGATGGCACGTCGCTCACCAGCCCGATAATCACACCGGAAAGGATCTCAGCCCCCATCTTGGCCACGAAGAAGTAGCGGCTCTCGAAGTGGTAATACTTGTAGTAGGCCCCCCAAGCGAACTTGAAGTCCGGATTCGACAGCTCCTCTTTGCTTTTGTCCCAAATCTTCACGACACCCAGCACGATCAACCCGCAACAGACGAAGATGAGAGCTACCGTCGCGAAGGCAAAAGCACTGTGGCTGCCGTACTGTTGTTCCTGTTCGTTGTATCGCATCTGAAACGAGCTGGTCATGCTTAGAGCGTACTCGCTCAATAGACAGATGGACAAACACGATTGGATCAATAGACGCATCAAGAGTTTGGCGCGAGGCAAATCATCGAGTCGCTGGATCAAGAGCTCCAATCTCCGTCGCAGTAGAAGACGGAGCAGCGAGTAGAGCGATGCCACAGCTGCTGCAACGCCCCCAACGATACTTACGAACACGATGGCAGTCTTGGTGAAGAGTTCTTCTGGCTGGACGTTGATCCTCTCAGCATACGCCAGTACGCCCGATATGATATCACCATCCGCGACTGTGAAGTTGGAGGCGTTCTCGCTAGAGAGCTTCTCTGTCCCTTCGTCACCGTGAGAAGGAGATCCGCTTGGACCAATCGGCTGTAAATTGCACCAGCCTAATGAATCCGTAAACTGGAAAAAGAAATCTGGAGCACCAGGGAGACTGAGATGGCTGCTGGACGAGATGAACTGCAGGTAGTTGACCATCATGAAGAGCTCTGTTAAGTCCACGACGGGAGCTGCTCGGCCTAGACTTGCACCGCCGCCCACAAAGTTCAAGATCCCATTAGTCGCAGTAATCCCAGTGGGAGCAGTCGACACGGCAGCTGCGCCAGTTGTTGCAATGCTGATCACGGAAGTCACGATATTTACAGTGACAGCAGTGCCCACTAAGATGTTCACGGAACTACTGGCTATGTCACGCGCAGGGCCCAATGAGTGCGTGAGCTCGATGATTGCTTGATGGAAAGCCTCTTCATCGCTGTCGTCGGAGCGCGCATTGTTCTCGTTTGTGATGACAGCAGGGCCTTCCGTCCCGATAATTGCGTTTGTTTGGCTGCCAGAAGTTGATTGCTCGCTTGTGGTTGAACGGACAGTCGCACTTGGATCCACGTGGAGATTATCTTCAGGTGAGTCTCCGCCAGAAGAACCTTTGAACGCCGGCATTTGTGAACTTCCGTCACCGGTCGATGCAGATTCAGTCGATGCACTTGAGTCTGTTGCCGAAAGCTTAGCATCATCAACTCGTTCTGGAGATGATGTCGATCTTGACGAACTCACATTGCCCGTTATCGACGAGGTTTCAGCTGACCCACCGCGTGCTGAGTCTCTAATTGACGTATCACCGACAGATGGGGACCTTGATGGGCGTGAGTCAGCACTGCTGAAAGCAGGCGAGGACGTTGTTGACGCCGATGGAAGTACTCGACTGCCGTCTGTTCGCACCGTGCTCTCCGGTGTATTGACCGTCGGTGAACTCGACAGCGACGTGCTTGCTGTACTTGTGGTCGATGGCTGAGCCGCTCCTGGAGAACTTGTTGATGTTGGTGCTGTCGTATCCGCAAGAATGGGAACAGCAGGGTCTGGGCTTTCAGGCACTGGCCCACCGCTTACCGGTGCACTGGTAACGGGTGCAGAGACTGTGGGTGTTTCGGCCCCCTCTCCAGACGTCGGTGGTATTGCTGTGTCAGCGAGGATCGGGATGTCACCAAAAGGGGCTTGAGTTGCAGGCTCTGGAATTAGTGGTGTGCCGGTAGCTGGTGCACTCGTCACCGGTGCCGTAGTAGCAGTCGCTGGCGCACTTGTACCCGGCGAACTCGTTTCCGGCACAACAGTTGGCAGTGATGTTACTGGAGTATTCGTGACCGGTGGGTTGGTTACCGGCATCCCAGTTTCCGGTGCAGAGGTGGCGGGTGCTGTAGTGTCGGCGAGGATCGGAATACCACCAAAAGGGTCTTGAGTCTCTGGTGCATTTGTTTCCGGTGCAGCCGTAACTGGTGCTGCTGAATCAGTTGCTGGTGCTGACGTTTCCGGTGTACCTGTGACCGCTGGTGCGGCGGTGGTGGGGGCCGTAGTATCAGCAAGTATCGGAATGTCACCAAATGGGTCATCTGGCGCTGGCGCATTCGTTATTGGCGTTGAAGGCGAACTCGTTCCTGGCGCACTTGTTTCTGACGGAGTCATTACTGGTGGAATAGCTATCGGCCCACTAGTTGATGGTGCATTTGTTTCTGGTATGCCCGAAGTCGGCGGGCTCGTTGCAGGCCCCACAGTTTCTTCCGGAGAGGTAGGAGGAGCTGGGGTGTCGGCAAGGATCGGGACGTCACCGACAGGATCTTCAGTCGCTGGCGCACTTGTTACTGGCGTGCTAGTGACCGGCATACTGGTTACTGGTGTACTTCTTCCTGGAGCACTTGTCAGCGGCGCACTGGTTACTGAGGCATCAGTAGCTGGAGCATTTGTTACAAGAGCACTCGTTACGGGTGGGTTTGTTACGGCGGGACTCGTTATTGGCACACTCGTTATCGGTTCGCTCGTCACTGGTTCGCTTGTTACAGGAGTACTCGTTTCCGGCTCCGCTGTTGGTGTCGGAGAGGCCGATGGAGCTGGAGTGTCGGCAAGGATCGGGATGTCATCGAAAGGATCTTCTGTTGCTGGTGCACTTGTTGCTGGCGTACTAGTGATAGGCGGACTCGTTACCGGTGCACTCGTCACTGGATCATTCGTTAGTGGTGTGCTTGTCACGGGTGCACTGGTTACGGTTGGTGCACTAGTGACGGGAACATTTGTTACTGGAGCACTAGTTTCCGGCACCTCTGTTGCTGGTGCTGTGGTTGGAGGCGCTGTAGTATCCGCAAGAATTGGGATGTCACTAAACGGGTCTTCAGCCGCCGGTGCTGAAGTCGTGGGCGTACTAGTGCTCGGTGCACTCGATACTGGTGCAGTGATTACTGGAGCACTTGTTACTGGAGCACTGGGTACCGGAGCCCCCGTCACTGGAGCATTTGTTACAGGAGCACTTGTTACGGGGGGACTCGTTATTGGCACACTCGTTATCGGCTCGCTCGTCACTGGTTCACTTGTTACAGGAGCACTCGTTTCCGGCGCCGCTGTTGGTGTCGGAGAGGCCGGAGGAGCTGGAGTGTCGGCCAGGACCGGGATGTCATCGAAAGGATCTTCTGTTGCTGGTGCTGAAGTCATGGGAGTGATCGGTGCACTCGTTATCGGTCCGCTCGTCATTGGTGCAGTGGTTACTGGAACATTTGTAACAGGAACACTCGTAACTGGGATACTGGTAGCGGGAGCACTCGTTACTGGAGCACGCGTCGTTGGTGCACTCGTTAGTGGTGCAGGCTCTGGCGTCGCTGGTGCAGAGGTGGCAGGAGCTGGAGTGTCAGCAAGAATAGAAACATCTCCGAATGGGTCCTCTGTCGCTGGTGGGGACGTGACTGGAGCCGTGGTGGCGGGAGCTGATGTTGTCGGCGCCGTGGTAGGGGCTGAAGAAGTAGAAGGAGGTGGGGTATCTGCAAGAATGGGGATATCACCAAAAGGGTCCTCAGTAGCTGGTGGCGACGTCGTGGAAGGTGCTGTCGTCGTCGGCGACGGCGTTACGGATGGCATGGGCCGTTTATACGTGAGTTCGCAATCACCCGCGCTCTCAGTACAGCAAATTATATTCTGTTGGTTCCAGCCCGACCACTCCTCCGTGCACTCCGACATACTCCAGCAGTACGGTCCTCCCGATCCTTGGTTTGACTGTGCACAACACCAGTTGCTCCCGCCGTTGAAATAAGCACAATCATAGTACGCCCGCTGGCCGCTGAAACTCGGCGGATCAACAGATTCAGGGTCTTCGAATTGCAGTCGACGCTCTTCTTCAGTCAGAGGACTCTGGCGGGCAATGATATGCGGTATGTGGCTGCGAGGAGAGTGCACCTGGTTACGATCGCTTTCAAGTGTTGCTGTGGTAAACTCGTAACAAACGCGATGATCTCCATCGTTGTCAGAGCTGCACTCGTAGCCCCGGAATTGCCATTTTACTGGTAACTCCACTGTTTCGTCGAGCGACAAATGTCGCAGCGAGAAGTAGACGTTCACCCATGGGAGATCTCGAACATACAAGTCGTCGCTGACCTGTTTGTACATGCCGATGTGCACTTGGCCCGGGACATTCAAGAAGAGATCAACCGCAATCGCGTTGTGAAGATTTGACGAGTGCGCGGAGCTAGTTGTCGACGCGACAGCATTTTGTATCAGTACCGCCGTCGCTGCTAACTGCGACCATCGCATGCTGGCCGGCTCAACGCCTTCAGCGTGGTATGCGGTTCGGAGAATGACCTCATGCTACGTTGGATTTAAAGACAGTCAGCGGTGGTCGCGCATGTTGGGTTCACTCATATGTTGCTTTATGATCGTTTGCGTCGCTTCAAAGATTCCAAATTGGAACACACTGTAAGAAGTCGGTAAGAGTTCAGTTCATCTAGGGCAAGTGGGGTGGAAGCGCCGCAATGGGCTCAACAACGACAACGAGACTTTGTAATTCTATTCGTTTTGGAATGATTCGTGCTGTTAGTGAAAATGCTAGGATGGGAGATTTCGGATGTCGTGGAAACCGCGTTGCTTCTTTTTGAAGGGGTGCACTGCCAAATGTATTTGAGACGACGAGTATTTGTCTCGAGAGCTTGTACGAGGTGTCAGTGCGATGCTCCTTATATTGTGACCTCTATAGTATGCTGTGTTGGCTCACAAGCAGCTTAGAGACAGTGAAGTAGTTTTTTTCGGCTCGACATACAGCATTGGTACATGTATTGCAGACTGCATTCTACAGCGCTGGACGAAGATACATGTATGGGAGGACGGCGATGGTAAACGGGATCACCTCACTTACTGGATCGCCAATCGTCTTTAGCGGATGGGGCACCGCAAGTGTAGTACATGTAAGTCGTGACGCGGCTCGCACCGGCTGCCTCAGACCACCGAGACTCACGCTGCACCGTTAGCTCCTTTTTTTTCTCTTCTCGATACCGCAAAATGAGATATCAGAATGTTGGTATGCTCTGTCAATGCCCTGTTGGAACTTGCACAGCATAAGCCAGCTAGATTCACCGAACTTGACGTTTGGTGCCGACTGGATCAAGGACGAAACGGTGGTGGAGCGCCACTTGACGTTGGGATCAAGTGACGTCACCACTCAATCATTGTGGAGAAAATGGGAAGTCAGAGGTGAAACCTGAGTGACGTAGAGTGGTAACTGTGATGTCGGTGGAAGATCAGCGTACGGGCGAATGAAACTCGAAATGGAGAAGCTGGACGGCAGTCGACAGTCAACGCTCGGCTACATAGGATGCATGGAACGATGGCGACTGAGGTCGTATCGACGCTGGATCTGAGGTGACGTCGTTCACTGGAAGACTAGGGCGTGAAAGGTAGAAGGCTGTAAGTACTAGTTGGAGGAACGGCAGAGCTAACGAATGAATATCGCGGGTGGGAAAAAAGAATATAAATCCTGTAATTACTGTATTATCGGGCTACAATTATTATTATTGGATCTGTCCAAAGTCAATATAATATGATATTGATCCAATAATATCAGTACAATACCGGTTTATACCAATTGGTTAGAGGCAACTAGCTCTTCGCGCCAATCGTTCAAGTGGTTGGCTGGCAGGCACAGACACGATCACGAGCCGAAGCCTCACAGCACTCCCTCACTTTTCATTTGACCACGATGGCTCCGAACCGTGATATCTGCGCATTCTTCTACGAAGACAAGGGCCAAGGCGACTTCCGCTGTCAGCTTTGCGGTTCTTACCGCAAGCAGCAAACCGGTACCGGGTACTCGAACCTGATGTCCCACCTCAACCTGACGCACCCCGACTTCAACGAGACCTACAGCGCATCTGCGGCTACGGACGCCCCTCTGTCCAACTTTGGGTTCGTGTCCGAGGCGACTCAGCATCGCTATCAGTGGCTTCAGTGGGTCGTAGAGAGGCACATGCCCGTCTCCGAGGTCGACAACCACCTCACAAGGTCCATGTCGTCCTAGAAGCCCGTTTCGTCCAAGACGTTGAAGGAAGACATGAAGAAGTGCTCCGAGAGCGTTGGTGTGCTGATCGAAAGCGAGTTGGGCAAGCTGTTTGGTGTCATGTGGGATGGATGGACGCACGGTACCACGCACTACGTCGGTATCTACGGTGTTTGCTACGCAGACGGCAAGCGCCGTGAGCGACTGCTGTCGCTGTCACCGCTGGAGGACGGCAGCCAAGATGCTGAAGTGCACATCGAGATGCTCAAGCGCGTGCTGGCTCTGTATAACAAGGACATCTCTATGGTGGCTTTTCTGGTAGCCGACAATTGCGCGACCAATCAGCGGATCGCTGCGTTGTTGGAGTTGCCACTGGTTGGCTGTGCAAGTCACCGGTACAACCTTGCGGTGAATCGCTACTTAGCTGCTTATGAGCCGGAGCTCGCTGCAGTTAACAGTCTGATGGTGCAGCTACGACACGTGAACAATGCTGCGGAACTATCAAAATTCACGGACCTGAAACCTGTCAAACGGAATGTTACCCGTTGGTCTTCGACATTCGCAATGGTGGACCGCTATAAGAAAATTCGAGATTCTATTCGGCAGGTTGATGCTGGTGACGAGTTCATCCCAAAAGGTGCGGCCCACAAGAAGCTTCTCGGCCTGCTAGAGCACCTCAAGAAACTCGATAGTGTCTGCAAGACACTCCAGCGCGAGGACACCAGCATGGCGGACGTGCGTGTTTTGTTTGACCAGGTTGTTGACGACTACCCAGTTATGGCGAGCCATCTGCGTCCGGCGGCGAAGATCGTCCATGCGCCGGCCTTTGAGGCAGCTTTGGTCAAGATTTGCAACAATGCGAAGCTCACTGCGTCTGAGTCGCGCGCAGTCCAGCGATTGGTGGTGGAGCCAGATGCTGCAACTGGTAAGAGGAAGGAGCGCTCGACGAGCGATTACGCCAGCGCAATTCTACGAGGGGGGGGGAAAGATGCGAGCGGCTGGTACTGCGGGTGTGAGCTTTCATGAGCTGGCAAAGGTGGTGCCGCCCACCTCGAACACAGTTGAAAGACTGTTTTCGCAGTGCAAGCTCATTCTGACGCCTCAGCGGTCATGCATGCTTTCTGCAAACTTTGAGATGTTAGCATTTCTTCGCGTGAACCGCGACATGTGGAACGCGACTTCGCTCGTCGCCAATGAGTAGGAAGACTTGGTAGTTAGAGGCCACAATATACTTATATTGGCCCCGTTATTATTATTGTACTTCATCATAATCCCGTTATTATTATGGGACTCAATGTCTTGCAGTACAATTTCGTATTGTATTGTCCGAGGCCTGCTTCCAATTATAACAACAACCTCGCAAGTGGTCGTCTATCCCTGCAGCAAATTCCTACCGCATTTGAAAGTCGCAAACAGGCTTTGAGCCTAAACCGCAGTCTGCTGAATAGAAGACCCTGACACGATGTCAGTCACCGGACGGCTCGACGTCACGGACTTGGAGAGTCCCCAAGCCATGCCGCTCGCTGCCAGAGCGGAACGACGTCATAGGGATCGGATACACAGTGTTCACAGTTAGCTACGGAGCTACAGAGACACCTTCGTCACTCCGGAACGACCGCGCGAACGAGCAGTAGCCGGGAGCGACCAAGAGACAACGTCACCTGAAACAAGCACAAGATCAAGCCCGTCAACGCACAACACGCCTCTGTCCGACGAAGACATGGTGGCGGTGCTGAAGGCGCGTCTGGATGTTGCGATGAAGCTGGTTACGCTCCAGCAGAAAACGATTCGAGACAGCAAGATGTCTGCAGATCACCGAAGATCACGAACAGCAACTTGACGAGATCCGACGATCACTACCCGAAACGGAAGAAGTCAAGGAGCAGGACAAAGTTTACGAGCGTAAGTACGCCAGTACTGATGAAGGTAGCAACACTCGCACCACGTTGGTTCCCAACCAACTAGAAGGCGCCTTAACGGCGGACTCAGCAGTAACGACAGCAAAGGCGAGATCACCAAAACTTGAGGACGTTCACTGTCGACGCTTCGACGGAAAAGAAGTATATCCGGGTCTTGGGCTGGCGCTGAAGACTTTCTGAACGCTTTCGAGAGCGCAGTCCGTATGGAGCGTCTCCTGAACCGATCTACGTGGTCAAGTGAACTAAAGGACTCGGTGCTCGGTACCTTCCTTGAAGGTCGGGCGAGCAGATCTTATCACGATGTTAGTAGTGGGCGCGATGTCACGTACGCTCACTACCCACCTGCAGAAAGAATTCGGGTGCAATTTGAGCTAGTACGAGCTCGGCAAATGTCTCGACACCCACAAACGCGTTGGTGACACGTGGAAGCAGTATATGCCGTTTCTCAAGTTTATCGAACGACTAATGGTCGGCAAAAGGTCCCAGTTGGTACTCGAAACGGTCTGCAACAACGCCTGCCCAGGGCTAAAGCCAACCTTGCTCAGTATGATCGACGACAGCAGTACGGATCACCTGAAGGAGCTCGACATGGTTGTGGATTTCCTGATTTGCTCTCAAGGTGACGGTCGTCGAGCTGGCCAAGCAAAGCCAGCCAACCGTGGGCCAAATAACAGTCAAATGCAATTGCAACGTGGGCAGCAGTTCAACGGCAGCAACAACTACAAGAAGCAGGATCACCAACAGGGAGGCAACCAGCATCAGCGAAAGCAGAATTAAAAACGCAACAGCACTTGCCAACGTCAAGGCCCCCGCAACAATTCGCAAGTCCACTCGACTGAAATTGTAATTACCTGTTGGAGCTGTGGCGAAACGGGTCACAGAAAAGCACAGTGTACGAAGGAACGAAATTACTTTCGGTTTTTTTTAGGAAATCGAGTGCACCGTTAGTTTTTTGTTCGAAAGGTGTGAAACCGAGTGTCCCTTGTTCAACTTGAGGGAATGACCGAGTGCACTGCTGAGGTTAAGGCTTCAGCACGGAAGAAGATGCGTCAAGGCTCTGCCTTCATTAGTTCAGACGTAGCTAATGTAAGCTACATGTTGCAGCAACGATAAGCAGGCGTTCGTCTACAAAGCGATCCACGAGCTAGGATTAGTGTGCTTCCATCGCAAACTTCGCTCGCCAGCTACGCCAGTCCATAGTG